ATATCTTGTGGTCCAGACAAACTGCCTGCAATGATGATACTCAAAATTATAAAGTTTCTTACTCATTCCGACCTGAACAGCAGTGTGTTCTGTTCCATGGTTACATTGGGTTTAACTCATTCACCCCTGAAGACACATTTAAACTCTTCCAATTCAAAGGTTGGAATAGTTCATTATGAAATTTCAGGGGTGAATGAGTAAATCTCATTAGGTGTACTAGTCATGATCGTGATAGGTTAAAGGATGAACCACAGCACTGTGATGGTCTCCACAAATGATTCATGGCATGTGGAGATTGGAGGCCGGTAGTACCAAGAAGTCCTCAAACTATCCCATATCATATCTGTAATATTATCCTTTCCTATAGCTGTACTCTATACACGTAAAAGCAATAATAATATCTTTTAACAGTGGATATCGCACTCACTCTCCCCTTCCCACAACATTTACCAAACACTACCCTAAAAAAACATGTGGGGAAAAACTACCCTAAACATCACAACATAACCCTACAGGTACATGTATAATGTGTCTAAATGTTATTAGTTATCTGAATGAATATAAATACAAATAATGGTCACAGCAACCAATAAAAATCCCCATAGCATATGTACAAGATGTAAACATTTCATCGTAGTGAGTTAGTTCTTTATCCAATGATTCCTACCCACATTGTTTGGGGGGAGACTTCTCCCATAGAACTAGAGTACTGGATGTTTATTTGTAGATTTCTAATGTCGGGGCTCTAACACAGTAATCCCCAAACAACCATCATAAATATTACCACAACATTGTCTACAAATTGGGGGTAAAAGGTCATCAAGAAGGCACCCTGAACTGTGAATAAGGGGGATGTCAGACCCTCCCCAGCTGCCAACAAATGTTGCACTAAACTCCCTAGGAATGTCCAACACAGACTGTTTTACATGTGTTTCTGCACCAGTGTTTAGTCTGATGGTAAATAGATACCCTGGAAATGGTATCACTTCTGCCGGGTTTCCTCATTCACTGCGATCATGTTTGTAATTGTTACAATAAATATTTTCTGAACACATCATTCAATAGCTATTTATAAGTTATTGACAATTACCTGTATGTATATCATGCCAGATTTCACAAACTACTTTTTCTTCTGATGTTGGAAATGGCAGAAGAGTGTATTATAGTGATGTACCTAATGAACAGGTGAAATATGATTTCTCATTGGGTACACCCTGCTATCCCCCTCAACAATGATTTCTCATTGGGTACACCCTGCTATCCCCCTCAACAATGATTTCTCATTGGGTACACCCTGCTATCCCCCTCAACAATGATTTTTTATGGGGTACACCCTGCTATCCCCCTCAACAATGATTTTTTATGGGGTACACCCTGCTATCCCCCTCAACATGTGGAATGTTTACATTTCAAGCTTAGGATCCCTTTATTATAACCTTAACTCTCTTTCAAAGAAAACATCATAATATTTCTTCAACCCCGTTTTGTAGCTGTCCTTTATTCCGACCAGCCAGTTAAAGCAGTTGATCCCTCCAGGAGGGTTCTATACCTGTGTTTGGTTGTTAGCATGACACTAGGTGTGAGGTAGCTAAAATGAAGAAGTACAGCAACTGAACTGACAATTTTCATGATACCATGTTTGAGTGTATTAAGATATTAACCATTTCCACCCTATGTACTTTAGACTTGTCTCCATTGATCTGGTATAATCCATACAGGATAGCAGGGGGGAATAGGTTTATATTCGCCCTTATCCATTGATCTGAACTTGTGTAATATATAGATAGCAGGACTGAAAAGGTTAAGGAGAAAATAAGGGACCGCTCAGTGTTTTTATGACACAATGTGCAATGGAGTACAACATCTGATGCAAAGTTAGAACCCTAAACAAGGTCTATTTACCAGGCCGTGGCTACTTTATGACCCTTGTACTTTTTTATTTCCAAATGTTTTAGGCACAACTTGCAACTAAATCAGTGGCAACTGATAGTATTCAACTTGGCTCATGGAGTCCCTCAGCAGACCCATAACAGCAGCAGTACAATATAGGCTGATCACCTACCACAAAGAAGGCAGAGATATGGCAGTGAATGGTGGCCTTATGAGAATAGATGTAGCGTGTTTATAATGCCAGAAAACTTAGCAACTCAAGTGGGAAACGCTGAAGTAACAGCGAAAATTTGAAATCTTCCATTTTTGTTCCAAAATATTTGTTGTGTTCTTCAAATGTTTAAATACACAAAAACTAATATTCTAATTCATGCAGAAATACTTCTGTCTTTTTATGAGAATTTTCCAACGTGGAATAGGTTTTTATGAGAACTTTTGATAGTGGAAGGGTTATTTGAATTTTCATACAAACTAATAATGGACAGCATTCAGAAAACAATGCTATTATACAAGTATGAAATAAAAGGACCTTGACTACATGTATATCTGGTGTGGAAATATCTTACTATGAAATAGCAGCAGGCATAATCCTGGAGGGGCCGGGCCATGGGGCCAATAATTCCTCAAAACTGAAATTGACCCCTCCATGTTACAATTTAATTTTAATTTTACATAGGATTGCCTCTCTTTATTTTGATATTGACTAAAAATTGCTGAAATGGCCCACTGCTCTCAAATTCCAGGAGTTTTCCCTGAGCAGTATAACTTGTTTACAAGTATGAAAGCTTTGATATATAAACAGACATGTGTTAACTTAAAATATTAATCCTGAATAAAAGTCGCTGAAAACTAGACAGCTAGGGATTGTCATTAGAGCTAAGTGGCGTGTATGAACGGCCATATGTCAAATGTTTCAGATCAGTGGACAGATTGTCAATCAGGTACTTATTGGTTACATAAACTCCAAGGTGAAAAGGTCAGTGACTGGGCCCGATATTGTGTACTGGACAATGAGAGTTGGTTGACATCCACCATTACGCCACCACACAGGTGATGTACAGGTTAGACCCTTTACAACGGTTACCTAAGGTATACAGGCTAATGGACAGGTTACAGTTGAATTACACATTATTGAACAGTTTAACGTTTCCACATGAAGAAAGGCAAACATTGGTACCATCACTAATAGGACCACATAATGCCTGGAGTTTAAACCACTTTACGGCATCATACTAAACCCCTCAAAGTGTGAGATAACCATACCTAAAACATGTCAATAAGTCAAAATAAATCGATAAATTTAATCTTTTTAATTTTGTGTTCAGACAGCATAAGGGATAAGGAAATAATCAGTGATGATATCGGTCATAAAGTGCTTTAATTCTCGGACTAGATAGAATGTGGTTATGACGTATGTATCCAGCATGACAAACATACAGAAGCCTCACAAACAAGATTAATATTGTATCCAGTATGATAAGAACATTTCATAAGATTGGCCTCATGCATACCACTGCATGATAGCATAAGACAACTACTGTAAAAGTCCAAATAATTGTGATGTGGAAATGTTCACAGTTTTCCCTCTGTGAATATTAATGTGAAAAAATGTATATCCACATGCAGTTTACATATAGATTACATACCGGGGTATATATTATATATTTCAGATCCAATTCCAAAGCAAAAATGTCCACACCGGTTGGTTTGAAGAGTCACAATGAAAACATTTCCACCCTGGAGAATGTCCACTTTACAGTATACACACACACGTGATTACAACATGTGTTACCTGTCTACCCTATATTTTCTTTCTTGTTTTATCTATGATCATTAATCCTAATATCTAGATGAAGAGTTTGACATTTCAGCGAGATATGACACTTCAAAATAGCCCTTGTGACTGGCTCCATCATCAGTCAAATGATCTTACCAATTGTACCTGTCGCAAACACACAAAAATGCTGGTGTTAAAAAGTTTTTCTTAAATAATTATATATGTGTATAATGTCACTGTCAACACTCCGAGCTCACTTTCAGTCAGCTTATCGCCCCCTAGTTTGAAGTTCTAGAATCAGATGTGACAAAAATTATAAATAATAAGTATTATTTTCCTTTATAAATTACATATGATATAATCTTGGACCATATCTACGCTGAAACAATGGGATAGAGACAGAGACTGTATGTGTGTGGGTTCATTCCCTTGTCCTAGTATACTCAGGATTATTGGGGGGAAGGAGGTTGTGTGTGTGTGTTAGTTTATTCGATCCTTGTACTCAGACAGAGGCACATGTTTACGAGGAAACTGGTCCTGACATAGTTAGCACCACCTCCCTGTATTACTGTCACATGGACATTAAGATTAGATTTCAATGTGATGTGGGAATTGGAAATTAATTCAAATCATGGTCCAAAAATTGCTGATGGCAAGAAGTTAATTGAATTTCAGATTAATTTGCAGTTTTCTGACTAAAATCAGCAAATTTTCTCAAATCACGTCTGATTTACTGGAGTGGTAGCCTCACTGCGGAGAAAGAGGGATCTCCACAATCATTACAATCACAACACTTTTTTATCAATATGTACTCTCTAATTCATCAATTAAATATGACAACAGTTTTGAGAGACCCAAATTAAATTCAATATCTTATTGAACTTCTGAAATAACAAACCCTATTTAGTCCTGTAATCGAAGAGTACAAATATATACATCCGAGGCAGTTTACCCTGTCAGCAAGCCTATATATTCAGTCACCATCACACGACTAGAGCATCACTAATGCTATAAATATACCCACAAGGATGACTCGATCATTAGACCAGAGATATAAATAGCTCGAACATATACCAATAACCACAAGTATACACCATAAATATGATAGAGGTAAATCTATTCCAGTAGCTGACAGTATAAGTGAGAAAGAATTAGGAAAGTAATCCCCCATTGTTTTGTCACTGTCATTCATCCACCACGACAGGCAGACATAATTATGTAGGGTACAATCCTACGCAGTGGTGTATCACTAGAGACTTGTCAGTAAACAGTAACTGTAAATATATATATACAATCAGTTTAAAACAGCGTGCACCGTTACATGAAAGCTCACCTTTCTTCAACTGTTTTTCCTTGGCACCTTTCCTTAGCTGTAGTACCTTTTTGATAATTAAATCCATGTACCTGCTGTAGTATTCATGAAATCAAGTCTTGACACAGGTGGCACCTGCCGTCCATTGTATATTGATGACCGTCCTAGTTTACAGTACACAGTTCGACTGACCCGCCACCATTGACCGTACAAAACACACTGAAATTTGTTGGAAAAACAACTACATATATGTATATAGACACTGGAGATTACTTTACACTACACAGCAGATAAACCAAAAAGTACTGTGTGCCCTTCGCTAAACCACTTTATGGGAAACCCGTTTAAGTTTACGAGGCCTGGCTAAGATAAGTGTGGGCGTGTGTTGTCCAACTTCTCAGGTGTGCTGTGTACCTGTGTTGACACCAGCTTATAATGCTGTGTCCTAACCTCCTGTGTACACCCCACACCTGCTGACTCAGTGTCTTCTATATCCTGCTATACCTACCTATACCGACACATAAATCATCCACCTTTACACATCTAACTGCAAAATACAGCTAATGTCCTACACCGACGATAGCCCAGGGTATAAACCACGTATACCTTTATACAAATTATCAACATCTATGTAATCGACTACACCATTTGTACCTGAGAAGTACAATGTAGGCCCTTTATAACACACATAAACATTATTCAATGACAATATTACAGCTTTGAAACAAAATGTTTCACCAGATTAAAATTGACAGAATTTTACCGTAAAAATCACTTTTGAGTGCATTTATGGGATATATATATATATATATACAGTTGAAACGTTATCTGTCAGGAGATATGTACGGAACCATACCCTCACACCTAACAGGTGAAAAAGGTGTATCATAAATTATTACAGCAACTCATGCAATATACAATGTATAGGTATACAGCCCACCCAATGACACCAGATTTACACGAGAAAGAAGGTAAATGTACACTACCAAACTGACTTCTGTTAATTTCCTCAAATTATTCCCTCAACTGACCCCACAGAATATCATTTTAACTTGTGAACCTTTGATATATGAAACAAGTTTCAGACCTCCCATAAGTTTGTGTCATCCCTTATACTCCAATACCATTTCATTTGTAACCGGCTGTATTATACCTAATACTCAGAGTACTTCACAATTTGGGAAAATTATGATCATTTCAGAAACTTCCAAAATTCTCACAAAATAGCCATAACAGATGCTTTTTTGTAGTCGGGCTTTACATTATGGTATAGGAATTGGATGCTCACCAGAAACAAGTGTGTGCTTATGAAGGATAGGGTGCTTATTAAGTCAAATACTGAACAAGTTTTTTCTAATAACAAACACTGTAGAGTGATATCAGATTTGACAAAGCTTTATATTTACCAGTGTAACTTTTAGCCCTGTGGACTTTCCAGCCATTTACACCTCATTTACTTCCCAGAGACAATATTTTTATCTATTTTATCTGGTATATAGTGTATTGTGTAATGTCTTAACAAGGTGAAAGGGTCATGTATACAATATATACATGGTAGTTATCCCATTATGTATACCTGAAGGGTCCAGAAAAAGGTGAATGCTCTAGTCAGAAAATGGACTTCAAGGAAGTTTTATTATTTTTATACATTTTTCTTGGGAAAAAGGAAAACCACACTATTTCTTTTTATCGTAAGTGGTTTGTATACATTGCACCATGTTGCAGTGTACATTCGTAAAACTGATATAAGTGGGCCGTGATGTTTTGTACACAAACAGGTGTGTTAAATGTACAAAATGTCCTTTACAAACAGCTGTGTCCCAAATCTGTTCATGATGTACAACATATTAATTAATTTCCATCAAATTTATAAATCTTCTCAAAAACCATCTTCAGAAATAATTATCTTGTTAATTAGCAGCTGATTAATATCTACAGTAAGAACAGATTTTGATATCAAAAGGAAATTCTTTTGAAACAGAGCAGGCCAAGGTCTTTCTTTTTATAAGTACCATATATTCTTCTTTGAATTATAAGCAAGGAATTTGTATGGAAACTGTTGGAAAGTCAGAATGCTCTTCATCTTTCTATACATAAGCCCCAGTTTACTACTAACATGTATTGAGTATCAGTCTCATTTAACAAATCTAGCTACATGTAACACACAGATAACTAATATTTTAAGTACATACTACATAGTACAAGATATAATGTAGAAAGAATTCAGTGAACTTTTAAAAAAAAGTCAAATTAAAGTGAATGCCATAAGTTATGAAGTCACAGAGTATCGGACCCCAAGATATGCCATTTTATCCTGCCCTCACTGGTGAAAGCTAACAATTTGTCAAACTAATCATCATCATCATCACCAGGTCTGGTTGTACAACAATGTCAAGAGCACTTGAAACCTACTTGTGAATTTTAAGTGGATGTGATGGCTGATTGCTGTCCGGATCCTGTGCTGTACTGAACACCCTGTAGTGGTACACATACAATGTCATGTTTTACAATGATCTACAGTCTACACAAAACATAACCCACAATGCATTTATAAAGTTTAATTATCAAAATAAACTCAAAATCTGTCAACACCAGAAATTCAAGCTAACATCTTTTGCACCATGACACACAACACAATTAACTGTACATGCCTCAAGATGTTTATTTTAAAGCTGTATGTTTATTAGTAAATATATGATCTGTACCTGGCTGAACTCAATCTTGATATTTCCATATGTACCATCTCCTCTAAGAATTAATATCTAAAGACATGTATCACTCAGCATATGGCTGCTTTAGAGAGACCATGGCAATCTAGTCTTTATCAGAAAGTGTTTTTAAACTTGAATTGGTTACTTATTAACCTTATCAATTAAAACAAGGAAAACAAAAGAAATCTGATGAAGATATTTTGTGACAGTCATGTGAACATGGTCTTGGTTTAGATTAAGATTCCAGTTTGTGGTATGAGTAGAGTGTAACCTGGCTCTAATTTGATCACTAAACCAGAACATATGGCAAGTTTGACATGTTGGGGAGCGCTGCACAAGTCTGCACCTCAATCACGCCTCTCTGTTTCACGCCTCTCTGTTTTTCCCATCCTCTGTGTAATTTTACCAACACAAAACAAGGTATGTGATTACTGCAACAGCAGTAACTTAATGACAGGTCTTATAGTCGCTGCAGAGAGCAAAACGCTGCTTACTCTAGATAAATACGGCACACAATATATTTATTTTGTTGAAACTCTCTGTACATTTGCACACAAAACAAAATTTAATACTTCCTGAAGATTTTATCTCAATCTTTTTACCAACCCTCCTCTTTCATTCATCCACCCTAAAGCACGAACATTGACGACATCATTGCCCAGAATTTGGATGACCTTTCAGCAAATATTATGATATGGTGTGCATCACCTAACTGATTGTATTACACCCAATAGCTCCTTGCAGTCGATGTGGTTTTAAAATGTTACATGAGGCAAACAACAACAGATAATGAATCATCATAGATTGGGCAGGTGAGAACTGTATTCCCTACCTCAAGGTGTTCAACATGGATCTAAATCTGTCCATCCATTACTGCATTAATTACATACAGATGTTGGCTAGAATCAAATCTAGATCAGGACCTGATATTAGAGGTCAGCAGGTGTAGATTCATCACCGTGACCACAGGATAACTAGACCATAACTATCACAGTGAAAATACTCTTAACAAAAGTTTGGATCTTCATCCATGAGTACTTTATATCTTTATTTGTACTTTTGAGGGTACTATATAAGCTATCAAACATGTTCACTCCTAATTAGGGCAGCACTGTTAAACATGGTCCCAGTGTTTGCACATCTATTGACAGTGCTATCTAATTCCTATGGTAACATTGTCAAGCATTATCACTATTAACATTATAAATCATGATTGAGGTTAGCTAACACATTGGGAATATCAAACATTCTTTGACACAGACAAAAACATAAAGATTGCCTAAATATTCTTTAAAATATGAAATACCTTTAACATGCATTAGATATATGTCAAATTATGATTACTCCTTGCTATTTACAAATTATATACAATAACAGTGGTACTATCAAACATGACAATAACCAGATACACAAGCACGTCCTCCTGGCTATATCAGTATAGCACTACTCCAAGCAGTAAATGGCGGCACCAATGGAGACTCTTGTACTCTCAAACACAATTGGTATATGCTCTGACTAAACTAAAATATACACCAACACTGATCTTGTGTAATCAACTAATGTAGATGTCACAAAGGCATGAACCTTATATATATATTCCTAGCGAAATCGGCATGTTAAAAGTCACTCAAGCAAGTTATGCATTCAGTACAAACGACCTTCCAATCTACCGATAAATTAATGTTCTTTACCCAATCAACCAATTTAATTTGTCTCCACACAACATTACCACAAGCCTCTATCTCTCGTCAAATGGAGGTCTTGAAGGTATACACAAGCTAATTTAATCAATTTTCTGTAGCTCAAAACTAATTTGGTGTTTGTCAGTTGAACGGCCCGGAGATTTGAAATCTGCTTTCACACCTCAGAATCGCCTTTGAATGACCCACATTAATGGAAAGCAGTCAAAACAATTTTGTTGAAGGGATGAGATGGAAGCAAATCTCATCAAATAATTTTAAGACTTGTTCATCCTTTTAAATCTCTATGGAATAGCTTCATGTGAATTGATGGGAAAGTCTATTTCTTCAGAATAGGGACGGAGGACTAGTGAATGTGCACAGCCCAGATGATGCACTTTATGCTGCTAAAATTGCAGCAGCTGAAGCCAAGTCAGCGACATAAACACACAAATTGATAAAACAGGTGAGAGCACTGTTACTGCAGGAACAGCACAATCAAAACACAATTCCAACAGGAGCCACCACAGAGCTAGCATCCCTGTTAAACCATGTGCTCAAGGCGTGATCAATAACTTTCCTCATCAACGACCAAGTGATGTAGCCATGTGATGTAACCGCTTGATTCACATCAGCAGTGGACAGTATAATACAGACAGGTCTGAGGTTAGGGATAGTCCATACACCTGTCTAGGCTTGGAACTAACAGAATCTTCTACAGTAAAGTGTAGCATAGAGGAGGAATGATATTCTTGATTGTCTAAAAGCCTAGGGTATTATTTTAAGAATTTCTCTGGTATATCTCAACTAATGAAACAAGCCAATTTTTCTCCAAACCCATCAATAATGTGTATAAGAACAATTGTTGTTAGGATCTGTCACCTGTGTTTTCTTCTGTTTGAAGCTGATAGTGATGTCTTATATTACTTCTTTGGTTTTGTTACCATCATCGATCTCTTCTTAGAGGTGAGAGAGAGGAATCGTATTCTCAGGGGTGACATATCCTAAACAAGTAAAACAGCAGACTATCATGTGAATGGTCAACGTCTCTATACAA